TTTGGGGTTCAAGGGTTTAGGGTTCAGGGTGTAGCGGCTTAGGCTTCGGAAAGGAGGAGCAACTCAATGCTTCCAGAAAGCATTCAACTGGGGAGGGCAACTCGAAAGAATACCAAGTAGGGTTAAGGGTTTAGGATGTTCCTGGACCCTTAAAAGTATGTAAAATGATGGCCTTTATGGCTATTATTGTGGGTTTAGGGCTATTATTTTACATGCTTTTGGGGCTTAGGTTTTCCTTAGATATTTAAGGGGTGCGGAAACAGTTGCTGAATGCCAGTGAGCACACGAGCGTGCAAGGAGGCCCCTGCATCAGCATGTAAGGCCATCTCCAAAGAACATCCGAAATCAGGCAGTGCTGCAAATCGGGCTTTGTGAGATCCCACAAGTTGTTGAGATCGATAGATCTGGAGCGTTTTCCCACCTTTGCTGCTCAAGATGGGTCCTATTCGAGTCGGGATTCCCCACGTGTCATCATTGTCTTGGAGTCAAAGAGAGCTCCAGGTGGTAGTCATCAGATGGGCACTCTCCTAGGAGTTTAGGGTTTAGGGTTTAGGGTTCAAAGCCTCATATACCCCCCCTCTACCCTCGTGCTAGCCTATTATGAGCTATATTCTGGACTCCTAGTATCCCCCTTAATACTCCCCTATGTTATGCCCTATTTCACCCCCCTTGAAGGAGTTCAGACTCTAGTTGATATGAGCCGTATGTGGGGTAGCACCTGGTAACTACCAACCTTGCGCTATTCCTAGAACAACCCCTAAACCCTAAACCTAAATCCCTCAACCTTAAGCCCTAAACCCTGAACCTACACCCCAATCCCTAAACCCTCAACCCTAAAACCCAACTGAGTAGCGCTTTTGTTGGTGGTTGAACCTAGCAAGATTATATCTCTTATATGAAATACTATACCCCAAAAAAAGTATATAATCTTACTCTATATTGGGTACCATAGTATCCCCAAACAAAATACTACTCAACTGCGAGACTAAACCCTAAACCCTAAACTAGGGAAACCCAGGAGGACCTGCCTCGCGGCACCTTGGACTTAGGATAAAGCTCCACTTTGCCCAGTCCTGCGACTCAAAAAAAATGCAAGAAGCGTATGTCAGGGGGTTTAGTAGGGAATAAGGGTATTTTTGTTGTTTCTTAGGCTTTGGGGTTCAGGGTTTAGGATCAGCGGTTCAGGGTTCAGGGGTTTAGGACTAAGGAGGAGAACAATCCAAACATATGAGCCATAGTCTAAACTCCTAGAATCCCCCTTAATAGCGCCTATAGTAGTCCCCTATATAATCCCCTATGTAACCCCCGTTTAAGGAGTTTAGACTATGGCTCATATGGGAACTTCTCCAATCTTGGGCCCTATGGAACCTTTTGGGGGCCTTGGGGCTTTTAAAATGATTGCTGGATCCCTATGAGGGCTTCTATAGAGAGGAAATTCTGATAAGCTGCGATCTAGGATAGACCCTGAACCCTAAACCCTAAACCCTAAACCCTAAATCCTAAACTCTAAACCGTAAAGGGCTCAGAGCTCGGGGTTAAGGGTCAAGTGTTCAGCATTTGAGGTTCTGAGTTGAGGGTTTTGCCATCTGGGGATTTCTCAAAGGCTAGTCTTCCGAAATGTGGGTTTTGTGTTTACCTGAACCTCAAAAGTAGGTAAAATAATAGCCCAAACCCCCTAAAGATAGCCCATAAGGCCATTGTTGTACATACCTTTGGGGGTCAGGTAGGGATAAAGGGAGCATACAGGGTTAGAGGTTTGCCTGTTGTCGAAATGACGTGAAACCCTCATGAAGATTCTACCGCTACTTACATACGGTCGCTGCAAAAAATCCTGCAGGACTAACACTCCCTAAGGGTCCAAGGACCCAAATAATAGGGCTTTAGGGCCAAAGTACTATACTTTTGATGGTACTTGCGCCCTAAAACCCTATTATTTGAGTCCTTGGACCCTGAAGGACGGTAGTCTACGAGGTATACAGTTGGGTCATGCAGAAGTCTTAAGCCTTCACCGTAGGGGAGACACTAAAACCTAAACCGTGTGCAAAACAGGTCAGGGGTCAATGCTGGCGACTTCAGATGTTTTAGCCTGGGCTTACAAGATTGGGGGGTGGGGGGCTTGTAGGGTTTAACATCTCAAGTTTGCGGAATTTTAGGGTTTAAGGTTGAGACATACCTTAGTTTTGGGGCGTAGGGGTGTACAGCCGCACCCAAGGTCCTACTCGGTCTTTGTTTTTCAGCCCAACATGTGTGATGAAACAATTGCCTTGCCGCCCCGCTCACGCGGAGCCCCCCCCCAAAAAAAGGCCCTACAAAGACAACATTGCGTATGGGGATACATAGGGATATAATGTTTTGGGAAAGCCCATACTATGCTGGAGGGCTCCGGTTTCTTTTGCTGTAGGATAATCCGTGGTGGAGGTGCTACCTCCCAGCATGTGGAACTTGTCTTCCGGATGGAGGGCTTACGCGAGTGCAAGATACAGGGACAAGGTTCAGGGCTTGGGTAGGATTTTCTGCGAGGATCCGGGCCTTTGAACTGGTTTCACGTTGCTATAATTTGCGGACTGAATATAGGATCGCCCAGAACATTCCTTGCAGGAAGGATGCTGATAATAGGGATGTTCACAAACCAACTCAAGCAACAGGATCCTACCAAAAGGGTAGGAACCCTGAACCGTAAATCGCAAAAACCTACGTCCCTAAACCCTGAATCCTCAACCTTAAACTTTACCCTAATGACGGTCTGCGCGCAGGTGAGCCGCTGTTTGCCCGAGGTTATGTCACGAGCCTTTGCTCGACACCAGACTGGGTTTCTGTCCAGAGGCAATTAGGAAAACCTATCATGTCCTATATACCCATAACTTACGGTAACTTTATTGAAGCTTCATCATTATAAAAGCAACCCAGGAAAGACTTAGCTGCGAACTCCAGAGCCTTTTATGCATCCTGCCGGTCCTTGTCAGCACCAACTTCCAAAAGCTCCGCACGGGCCGTTCTGAGCTGCTAGTATGAGAGCTGTGCTCCCCTCGCAATCCTGCCAGTCCTTGTTGGCACCCGCTTCCAACAGCAGCTGTGCGATCTCCATGTGGCCGGTCTCAGCAGCTGGTATGAGAGCTGTGTTGCCCTCGTCATTCATAGTTCTTGTGAGCACCAACTTCCAAAAGCAGCCATGCGATCTCCGCATGGCCGTTCTTAGCTGCTAGTATGAGAGCTGTGCTCCCCTCGCAATCCTGCCGATCCTTGTTGGCACCAGCTTCCAAAAGCAGCCGTGCAATCTCCAAGTGGCCGCTATCAGCTGCTAGCATGAGGGCTGTGGGGCCGTAGAAATGCTGCAGGTTTGTGTCCGCACCAGCTTCCAAAAGCAACCGTACAATGTCCAAGTGGCCGTTCTTAGCTGCTAGCATGAGAGCTGTGTTGCCACAGTCATTCATAACGTTCTTGTAAGCACCAGCTTCCAAAAGCAGCCGTGCGATCTCCACGTGACCATTCGCAGCTGCGAGCATAAGGGCTGTGCTGTCCTCGTCATTCATGGCGTTCTTGCGAGTATCAGCTTTCAAAAGCAGCCGTGCGATCTCCACGTGGCCATTTGCAGCTGCGAGCATAAGGGCTGTGTCGCCATCGTCATTGTTAGCGTTCTGGTCAGCACCGGCTTCCAAAAGCAGCCATGCCATCTCCACGTGACCATGCGCAGCTGCGAGCATAAGGGCTGTGCTGTCCTCGTCATTCATGGCGTTCTTGTGAGCACCAGCTTCCAAAAGCAGCCGTGCGATCTCCACGTGGCCATTTGCAGCTGCGAGCATAAGGGCTGTGTTGCCCTCGTCGTGTCTGGCGTTCTTGTCAGCACCAGCTTCCAAAAGCAGCCGCGCAATCTCCAGATCGCCTCGGTTGCAGGAATCCGCAAGCTCTTCGGCAGCCTCAAGCTGCTGCGCTTCAGTGGAAGGGGCTAGCAGGACTATTTGTAAGTCGATGGGGGCATCAAGCTCGGTGGAATTGTCCAAGCTGTTGCCATTGTGCAATAACTGTTGCATGCACATCGGGAAGCTGTGAAGATAGCGTAGTGAAGCTTTCAGTTCCCGCACGTCGGAGATCTCCATCATGCTAACTGCGGGCAGCTCCTGCCCCGACATCTGCCAGATACGGAGCATTCCGGCAAGAAGGCTCAACACAGGAGCTCTACATGAACAAATATAACTCACATGCATGCTTGTGTGCCTCTAGTCTTTAATGCCTGAATAGCCATGAGAACAATTGCAGCATTGACTTCAGTATCACCATCCGCTGGCCCTGCAGCTGAATCTACGTGCCGACACTGCTACACAGTGCCTATGGCTCATGTGGGACTCCTTGGAGTTAGATGTCATTCAATGACGCTGACCTTGGGCCAGACTCTAAGCTACGTGGCAGCGTCTCAATCCTTCATAAAGACACCCATAATACTCTGGTAGTCCCATGTAGCCCTCGGGTACCCTCACATGGCATTTAGGAGGTGTAGGTAGCCCCTACAAAGTCCATACTCCTAGGTGCCGGGGAGCTAAGTCGATCAAGAACCCTAAACCCTAAACTTTAAACAGGTACTTTGGATCTAAGGATTTGTAAATGATGCCCTAAACTATCCCAGCAGCCCAAAATAATTAGTAGGGTTTACGTAGACCCTGGAGTCCTACCTTTTTAAGGGGATATACCCTACAAATATGTAGTACAGACACCCAAAAAGGAAGGACATCCAGGATCCAGGTAGAGTTTAGGGTTAGTAGGAAGCATTTACCGTTTCAAGGCCCACTTCAAGTAACTTTCATAAAAATTTTGACGGCCAATGGTACTTGTACCTGTTTTGGGGATCCCCATAACAAAGGACTATAGTATTTGGGGGTCTATATTGGGGTCCCCCTATTGAGGGAAACTACCATATGGGTTTAGGATATTGGGACCCCTATAAACCCTAGACCGAAGAAAAACAAACTCACCCTTAACCCTAAACGTTTCAACGAGCAAAACCGCTCCTTCGATGCCTCGGGTACTGGTGAGGCCGGCTTTTTCGTATCCTCCAAGACTTGCAGTTTGGAGTTTAGGGTTTAGGGTTTAGGGTTTTGGAATTTATTTCAAGAATCCCTAACGCTCCAGTTACCTAAAAAGTAGGTTACTGGGCTATGTAAATATAGGCCATATAGAACCTAAACCCATTATTTGGGTAATTGGGAGCCCTAGGAATGGTTTGCAAAAAAATGTACGAAGTTCAGGTCGGGAGTTTGTACATTTTTTGTGCGGTTATTGGACACGTCTTAGATCTTGGTTTTGCCCTATGCAATTTGTATTTACATGGACTTGAGGGTCTAGGGTTTTAAGGTTCAAGTTTTATGGGCCTGGGGTACCTGTTAAGGCTTTAAGGTTCAGGGCTTTGGGCCTGGGGTACATGCTAGGTTTCCCTTCTACCCCCCCCCCTTATACTACCCCTATAGGCTCCTCCTCACTGAAGACCATTGAAGGCGCTAAATCAGGCTAACTGAATGGGAACCCGTGAGCGGGGAAATGAGGGAACGTATGCGTATGTAGGGTTTAGGGTGGAGGGGCTCCACGGTCTATGGGGTTTAGGGTCTGTATGCTTTAGGTCTTAAGTTTTGGGTGTGTATGGCTTACCTGGACCCCGAAAGTCGGTAAAATCATAGCCCAAAACCCCTAAATATAGCCCAAAAGGCCATTATTCTACATACTTTTGGGTTGAGGTAAGGCTTACGTTAGGGTTGACGGTTCCCAAGCGCGAAATAACATAACCCTTGAGATAGGGACCATCAAAACGGGACCCAAGGCTCCCGAAAATCCTGAAGGTTGAGCTTTAGAGTTTATACTGTAAGGGTCCAAGGACCCAAATAATAGGGTCCCTTTAAAGGGGTTTATAGGGGTATATAGGGTTCAGGGTTTAGTGTCCAAGGACCCAAATAATAGGGTTTTAGGGCCCAAATACCATCAATAGTATAGTACTTGGGTAATATTCCTTATATAACCCTAGAAGCCCAGGTACCCATATAGTATGTCCTTGGGTTATAGATAGTATAAGTTTATAGGGACTTAAGGACAGGAACCCTATCTATAGGTAACTGGGCTTCTAGGGTAGGGTTGAGGTTTTACGGCCTATATGTCGGTAAAGACATATCCCGATATGGCCCGAATTATCCTGTGAAAGCCTTTGAACCATTTTGAAGAAGTTTTTATTACATAAGTACTCACCTGAAGCCCCAAGCCCTGAACCTCAACACCCCCTAAACCCCAAAACCCTAAACCGGTGTTCTGTGGCGGCTTCACCACGCAAAAGTATGGCATTGTTCGAATACCAAAATAATCCCCAAATCTTAACACAGAAAGGGTTTAGTGTTTAGGGTCTAAACTCCTTAAAGGGGATTGTATAGGGGATTATATAGGGGACTACTCTAGGGGTTCTTAAGGGAACGGTATAATATCCCTCCAGTAATTACTCCACATAAAACCCTTCAACGCGAATCTTTCAAACCTATGATCCCACTAAGCCAACAACCTCCTCCCATCCCTAAGGCCTGAACCCTTAAATCCTAAACTCCCAAGCCCCTAAACCCCCATACCCAAACCCCTAAACCCTAAACCCCAAAACATAGACCCTAAACCTCTAAACCCTCCACCCTAACGAGCCATCTGCGCTATAGTCTAAACTCCGAATATCCCCATTAATAAGTCCCATGATACTCCCCCATAGAATCCACTAACTAACGCCCCTTTAAGGAGTTTGGGCCCTCAACCCTAAACCTAAACCCTAAATCCTAGACCCTAAACCCTAAACCCTAAATCCTAAATCCTAAAGCCTATAAACCCTAAACCCTATAAACCCTAAACCCTAAATCCTAAACCCTATAAACCCTAAACCCTAATTCCTAGGCCCTATAAACCCTAAATCCTAAACCCTAAAACCCATAAACCCTAAACCCTAAACCCCGAAACATTTCACCCGAACGAGCCATCTGAGTTTTCTTGGTGGTTGAACCTAGTAAGATAATTTTCCTTATATAACCCTAGAAGCCCAGGTACCCATGTAGTAGGTCCTTGGGCTATAGATAGTATAAATCTACATAGGGACTTAAGGACAGGAACCCAATATGTAGGTCTCTGGGCTTCTAGGGTAAAATACTATACCCAAAAGGAGGATATAATGTGACTCTATATTCAGTATCATAGTATCCCCAAATTAAGCACTACTCATCTGAGCCAAGCGCCTTGGACCTGCGCATCTGGGTGATCACCGTCTGGCCCAGACGATTCCAGCTTTCATCGCTGACCTGAGCCATAATCTAAATTCCTTAAGGGGGGTTATATGGGGTTTAGGGTTTAGATTTTGGGGATTAGGGTTTAGGGCATAATCTAAGGGGGTTGTAAGGGCTTAGGGTTTAGATCTTAGGGCCGACCTGAGCCATAATCTACGGGGTTATATAGTGATCTATAATCTAAACTCTTTAAGGAGAAGTATGTATGGAGTTGAGGGTCGAAACTCCTAAAAGGGAAGTATATGGAGTTTAGGGTCTAAACTCCTTATAGAGGATTGTATAGGGGACTACTTTGTAGGGGTTATTAGGGGGGATACTAGGAGTTTAGACCATAGTAAAAACCTGGGCCTGAGGTTATGATCCCTTGGGTTGGATCTAGGGTGCAGGCGTTAGGGTCATAATCGCTTTAGGTTGGGCTTGAGCTTTAGGTATATAATCTCTTTAGGTTGGGCTTAAGGTTTAGGGTAATTCCTTTAGGTTTAGGGTTTAGGGTGAGTTTAGGCTTATGTTTATTAGGGTACGGTGATAAAATTTGTTGAAAAATCCCACATGACCTTGGCCACCATTTACGGCATTCTTGATGATCTTCTTCTACAAGCACCTTTCAAGAATACACCCCCCCCCCCTCCCCCCCGGCAGTAACAGTCTATATTACCAACTGTTACTGAGGGGGGGCAGTACCCAACTTGTAAATGTGTCGACTTTAGGTCCTTACCTCTTACAGGAACAGTTGCTGCAAAAGGTAATACTTAAACCCCAAAAGTATGTCAAAATAATAGCTAAACCCCTAGTAATAGCCATGAAGGCCATTATGTTACATACTTTTGGGGTCCAGGTAGGAGGCATAACAGCCCCTTACGAACAAACCCTTCGATACACTTATGAAACTGCTGGAGGGGGGAATGGCCTAGAGTAAGGTACAAGCCCCAAGAAGTGCCAATATCGTGGTCCCGAATCCTCAGGAAATCACGGTATATAGTGTGCCTCAAACAAACCTGAAAATGGTAACAGGACCCATGATTCCTTCTGTAGTATGGTTTTGGAGAGGGCCCAGTTCCATGATAGTGATATTGTGGGACCCTTCGTGGGATTCGGGGATAATCAGATCTCTAAACCCTAAACCCTGATAGTCATAGGTTGGGTACTGCCCCCACCCAGTAACAGTCTATATTAGGGGTCCTATTAAGTGCCATATATAAACCTATTATACTGATTATCCAACTGTTACTGAGTGGGGGCAGTATCCGAGTCATAGGGTTCCAGCACAGAGCGTTGTGTTTGTCAGAACCCTGTAGCGCCCTCTCTTTTTGAGTAACTGTCAAGCCTAACCCGTTCAATCCGAAATCCTCCCCCCTTAAACCTCCCTAAATCCTGAACCCCTAAACCCTAAACCATGGACCCCTAAACCCTGAACTCATAAACCCTAAACCATAGACCCCTAAACCCCAAACCCTGAACCCCTAAACCCATCTACTGTTCATGGAAGCTCTTGCACCACGTGAAGTCACTCAACTACTGTAATTCCTAAGCCCTAAACCTGAACCCAACCTAGGGTGGCGCAGGATTTCCTGCAGCAACACCGCGGTAGTTTCCCCAAATGAGGGGGGACCCCAATAACGACCCCAAAATAATACAAAATCCTTAGTACTGGGACCCCCCAAAAAAGGGTTACCATGATTTTGGGAAACCCTAAGCCCTGAACCCTATGCAGCCCCCATTGAGCCTGTATAATCATTCTTTAAAAGGGACCCCCCCCATTCGGGGAAATCCTGAACCCTAAACTCTATAATCCCTACAACCCCACTTAAAAAGGACTCATACTTTTGGGAAACCCCCAAATCTCCCTAAACCCTAAACCCTAGACCCTATATAACCCTCTTTATAGGAGTATAGACAGCCTAAACCCTAAACCCTATATCATATAATCCCCTATATATAACCCCCTCGACCGAGTTTAGATTATGGATATCTCAAACCCTAAGCCCTAAACCCCCATATCTCAAGCAGCTCGTTTTGGAGAGTGAGAGAACCCGGGCTTCGTACAACGAAGATGGCACCATCCTTGCCAAAAGGTTGGGGGGTTTGGGGTTTAGGATTTGGGGTTTAGATTTTAAGGTTTAAGGGTTTAGGGGTTAAGGGTTTAGGGGTCTGGGGTTTGGTATGAAGTTAAGAGTTTCGTGTCCAGCTAGACCAGCATGCCCCACCCCTTTTGTAAGGTACCTACAGTACTTTACTCCCAAAAAAAGTAGGAGGGCATAAGGGTCTCGGTTTAAGGTAAAATGGGACCACGAGAAAGCCCCAAATACAAACCAAGTCACTGACTCGGGAAACCCCTAATGTTCTGAGCGCGCCTAGATATGCGCCCAGACGGCACATGCGCGAGTGAAACGTGCTGTTTCTGCAACACCTGCCAGTGTTCTGGAGCGTGCAACTTGCAGGACTCAAAACTCTGAAATTTGAGTCCCGGCTCTTTTGGTAGCAGAAGTGTGAGAGAAGCATGTTGTACTGCAAGTTCGCGGAATGCTGTTCCTGTCAGCACGGGAGCTGCTGTGCGGTTGCAGGGCTTTCAGGGGTAGAACTGGCTGAAATAGGCTAAGTTGCGCACTACGATTTTATGCTACAGAAAGCAGTAAGAAAGTAGAGGTCCTGCAGCTCCCACGGTCAGTATTCCAAAGGCCGGCATACGGTTTGACCCTCTGACGATCAACATTGTAGGCCTGGTAGAGGCGCACGAACGACATTAATTATCTTGGCCAGCATGGATGCTCAGGAGAACCGTGTGCTCGGTTCACATTAAAGTTGATATCCTGGCCAGCATGGATGCTCTCGGGAACCGTATGATCTGGTCGCACGAACATTATTACCTTGGCCAGCACGGATGCTCTGGGGAATCGTATGCTCTGGTCACACGATGGTTCTTATCTTGGCCGGCACGTATGCTTCGTTCTCTACGTGGTAATTCAAAACCCCCAAGGCCTAGCATAGTAGGCAATCGCATTACTGGCTTGTCTCGCAAACAATCCTCTACTCTCAAAACGCCTCGGCACCCAAGTCACAAAATACAGCAATGCATCTTTACAGAGGAAAAGATAATACCTACCTAGGGCTATTTTCCCTAGGTAAGGAAAAACTGTGTCTCGCAATATGCTTGGGGCTACTTGGGGTATTTTATCGTATCGATCAGCTGGTGGGTGGTCGGGCAGTGTTGATGCCCCAAAAACCGGAGGACCACAATTCAACGAACTGAATCCCGGCTTTAAAGCCTATATAGGGGCCGGCCACAACAAAACGCAAGTGCGACAGCCACCCACAAGCATTAATTACATCATCATCGTGGGCTTCTAAATCAGTTGCAACCTCAAACCCTAAATTTTAACGCCTGAACCCTAAACTTTACAGCCTAATGACGCCCTTACGCCCATTTTGCCTACACATGCGGGAATGCCATGCATGTGGGTTCGTCCTTTTGTGCCGCAGCTTGCCAAAATACAGGCGTTTAGGGCTTAGGAAAGCACTATACTGGACAAGAAGTTCGAAGATAATTAAGCTCTACCCTCCAGCTAGACGGTCCTATGCTATTTCTTCTGGGGTTTTATGATATACAGCCCAAAACAAGATGTACATAGAAGCTGTACCCAGGCACGAATTAGCCTCTAGTTTCCTCCCAATCCTAGACCTTAAGGGGTTGTTTTCTGGGTGAAGTCCATTTTCTGAATCCCTAGTCCCAAGAGTCTACACTTCAGGCTTTAGGCTTTAGGGTTTTGTCCTTAGCGTTTAGGCTTTAAGGCCTAGGGCTTGGGGCTTCGGGCTTAGGCTTTGGGACCCTAAACCCTAGCCCCAAAACCCTAAACCCCAAACCCTAAACCCTAAACCCTAAACCCTAACCGCAAAACACCCTAAACCGAGGGCAAGGCTTCCACGGTCATGGAGACTCCACGGTTTGGGATGGCTACCTCCACGGTTTGGGGTTTGGGGTTTGGGGTTTAGGGTTTATAGGGTTTAGGGTTTAGGGTTTAGGGTTAGGGTGTTTTGGGGTTAGGGTTTAGGGTTTAGAGTTTGGGGTTTAGGGTTTAGGGTTTACGGGGCAGGTTGTCGATGTTATGGCCCCATGTTCCTCAACCCTAATGACCCATGAAGCCTCCACATAATACGGCCTTGAAAATCTAGGTTAACCAAAATGGGACCATGTTATGGACAACCCAACATATATACATATTATATATAATATAAACCCTGAAGCCTAAACCATACTACTACTTGCTAATATACACATCCGACTTCGTACTGTATAGATACGTTGGATCCTTTAGGATTTGGGGATTTAGGGTTTAGAGGTTGGGCGTTTTAGGGTGCAAGAAGGAAAACCGGATTTGGGGATTTAGGATTTAGTGGGTTTGGCGTTTAGGATATTTGGGTTACCTGTTCAGGGTTTAAGGGGGCTAGCGCCGACCCGGATGCGCACATGTATCTTCAGGGTGGATTACGTCGAGAAAGTGCAAGGCACCGGATGTCTGCAGCACTCGTGAAAACATTCGGCTACACAATTGTGTTCCCCTAAAGGTGCATGTAACCAAGAATTGGGCACATGGGGTTTTAACACAAGTACTTGTAATACATGTCTTGGGCAAGTATATGAATGTTGGCTAGATGGAGCATTACCCTCAGGGTCCACAGTACACAATTCTCATATACTCGCCAAAACCTTAGCAACGGTTCATAAGTATAAGAACCCCAAAGATTATGACTTGTGTGATGGACCCTTAAGGTGCATGTAACCAAGAATTGGGCACATGGGGTTTTGACACAAGTACTTGTAATACATGTCTTGGGCAAGTATATGAATGTTGGCTAGATGGAGCGTTACCCTCAGGGTCCAAAGTACACAATTCTCATATACTCGCCAAAACCTTAGCAACGGTTCATAAGTATAAGAACCCCAAAGATTATGACTTGTGTGATGGACCCTTAGGGTTGGGGTTACGGTCGGTCTGCAAAGAACTGCACACTTAGACTCGGGAATCTTCCTCCTGTACAAAACTACCAGAGAGACTCCGATGTCCTCCCTGGATGATCCTTTGGTAAGCCTAATACTGACAGTAGCTCATGTGCAAAGTCACTAGGGGCTACCGTAACATCTCAAGGCAGAATGCTCAGTTCGCACGCGAGCCTCCCAAGTGTAGGCAAAATCCTGCTCGCACGGGTCGCTGGCGAAGGAGCGTCGGTCCTTCAAATACTTGTACCTGCCGGTGCAAATGCTGCTGCTAGCGCAAATTACCCCCCTTCCTGTTATCCCTGCTACCACGAGTCTCACAACTATCAACCATCATCATCATCATCATCATCATCATCATCAGTTGCCGCCGCCGCCGACGACGACGACGACAACGAGTACGAAAGCGAGGACGATGAGGACTAGTACTACGCAGGCTTGGAAAGCCGTAGTGGATGGGAAGGACGACTTGCCCAAAGGCTCTTTGATACCACCTGCAAATTTTCAGACCCCCCCCATCCCCCGAATCACCCTAAAGCCCGGAATCCTATGCGAGAGCCTCGGCGCAAGCTGGAGGCAGGTTGTACGAAACGCTAGTCCCATCCAAACATTAACACAAGGAGCATCAAATGCCACCCGTACAAGCCAAAAACACCTCTGCAAGGGTTTCTGAAATAGGGCTTACCTAAACCCCAAAAGTAGGTAAAATAATAGCCCTAAGCCCCTAAAACTAGCCCAAAAGACTATTATTCTACATACTTTTAGGGTTCAGGTAAGGTGGGCGCCCATTGCTTCGAGCATCCGAAGACCGAAAGAGTGGGCACCCTCCATACTTGAGCCCCGCCCAAACACATCAAACCTAACAGTGCTTACCTGAACCTCAAAAGTAGGCAAAATCATAGCCCCAAACCCCTAAATATAGCCCAAAAGGCCATTATTCTGCATACTTTTGGGGTTCAGGTAAACCTAAACCTAAAACAACCCCGAAACACTGGACTCGGACCCTGAACCCTGCCTGTAAACCCAATTGCATACAGTCTAGTGGCATTTAACCCATAACACTGTAGGTAATTGGGGTTACAGGTACACTAAACCCTAAACCTCTAAACCCTAAACGCCAAACCCTAAACCCCTAAGCCCTAACCAGGACCTTCCTTGTACCCTTAATTGGGGATATATGGTCCCTACTAGTGGGTACTTAGGCCCTAATAGAGGGTAGGAGGAGGGTCTAGGAATTAGGGCTACAGGAAACCTCTCACCTAAACCCCTAAGCCCTAAACCCTAATCCTCAATCCCCTAAACCCTAATTAGGGCTACAGGAAACCTCTCAGGCCCTGACTGGAAGCTCAGGGTAGTGTTCTTGCGAGGCAGGACTTCGTCTAAAGCAACCTTCGCATGCTCCACAATCTCCTTAAAGGGGGGTATATAGGGTTTAGGGATTAGGATTTAGGGATTAGGATTGAGGGATTAGGGTTTAGGGATTAGGGTTTAGGGATTAGGGTTTAGGATTTAGGGTTTAGGGTCTAATCTCCTTAAAGGGGGTTATATAGTGGTTTATATAGGGGAGCATTACATGGCTTATTAAGGGAGATACTAGGAGTTTAGACTATGGCTCACATGCTTTGCTTAGAGGTCAAGGGGACTTAGTAAGCTCGTTTTTGAATTAAATCGTGTTATAAGTTTTCGCCAGCGCGCCCGGAACCCAAGAGCTACCGAGAGTATCTGCGAGTTCTGTTGATGGCGTTGTTCCTGCGTTGTGTTAGGTCGACTCTGCCTTCTACCTAAACGGTATCGAGACTGGTTCCGGCGGTATTTTGAGCATTTTCCTGCAATCAATGTGGGTACATACTTTCCAAAAATAGGGGGGGACCCCAGTATAAACCCAACAAATACGCTAAGCTTCATTATATGGACTCCCAAAATGGTACCCCCAAATTTTTGAAAATCCTAAGCCCAAAGCCCTAAACCCTACATATCCTTATATCACCCCCAAAGCCCGCTTTAAAAGTGTCCCCCCAAAAATTGGGAAACCCCAATTTTGTTCTACGCCAGGCTGCGGCAGGGACGCCCTCAGGTGAGGCCAGATGGCTAGCCCACATCACTGGTACGCTAGGTTTGGGGTTTATGGTGTCCTTGTCAGGGGAATTTGGGTTTAGGGTGGCCTTGTCAGGGGGGTTTAGGGTTTAGGGCGGCCTTGTGAGGGGGGTGTAGGGCTTAGGGTTTAGGGCTAGGTGCTCCATTAAATTGGAGGCATGCGAATATGTGGACTTGAATGTTTTCCTACCCAGCAGATAAATCAAGCACAACGCACCAGCAATGTACCTGCCCTGCTTCGCGAGTTTTTAGACGGATTACTAGACAGTCTAGGGCTTACAAGGGTAACTGACTAATCCCCCCAATGATCCAGAAAGCCCAATGTCCCTTAATTTTGGGGTTTAGGGATTAGGGTATGCTCTATCCCTTAATTCGGGAATGTACCTTAAAACATATCAGGGATCCTAGTATCATTTACGATGCCTTCCCCAATTAGGCTTTCTGTTCTAGTTATGATCGCTAACCCGGTACATAGAACCACTACTGCGCCGCTGCAGAGTCTAGGGCACTTTCGGGAGGCGCACGGCAGGCTGACAAACATCAAGTCGTAAGCAAGTAATTCTCGCTTGCAGACCTGACGTGAATCATAACCCGAGACCCGCAAATCAGGACCCGCTATTTATCATAGCACTTACATAGGATCCTAGTTTCCAGGCGGCTGGGACTACCAAAAATCAAAGGAAAAGTATCCATGTAAAACCCCCTATAGCACACCCTTCAGGAAACATAAACGCTGAAATATCGCCTTCATAAAACGGAACCTTAACCTGAAGACTTGACATCAAGCCCCGAACCTGAAATCTTCAGCCCTGAAGGCTATATAGCTTGATACGTCACAGAGCCACACGGTTTAGGGTTTAGGGTTTAGGGTGTGACAAGTTTAGGGTTTAGCCCGTCCCACAGCGTTTCCAGTGTAACGGCTACGCGCAGGCCCAGGGGACTTAGCAAGTAGATTTCCAAGAGGGCTTAGGGTTTAGGGATAAGGGTTTATAGGCTTTATAGGAGATCTTCTGGGATAATGGAAAACAAAACGGAAACTACTATTTAGGGTTAAGGGTTTAGGCGCAATCCCAATTGTGGAGCGTACATAGCCCCATTCAAAACCTGCTTACTAGGTTCTCTTGTCAGTCAAGCATGACTTAATAAATTAATGTACCTGAGCCCCAAAAATAGGTAAACTAATGGCCGAAAACCCGAAAAAAATCTCCAAAAAGCGATGATTCTACATTGACATGCGATGGGGGTCCAGGTAGGCTTTAAGCTAAGATTCTAGGATCTATTCAGCTTCGGGTACAATTTCCTGAGTCCTTGCCGGCCTCTCTGTGAGATGTTGTATGGACACCATTGCAAAACTCGGAACTTTTTACCCAGAAATCTCCGAAACTCCGAACATCCAGCCCCCAAACTCTCCAACGAAACACCCCTAAACCCTAAACCCTCAACCCTAAACCCTAAACCCTCAACCCTAAACCCTCAACCCTAAACCCCTTTTAGTCCTAACTCCTCTTCCCGAGCTGTAGCCTCCGATTTCGCATACAGCTCAGCGGTCTGGACTTACAACTGGCGCGTAGCAGAACCCATTAAGCCGCAGGCAATGGTAAACCCTGTGCAAGGTTCTCAGCTCATTGGCAGTGACCACAACACAGCATGCGAATAACTCAACATTCTGGTACTACTATAGTCCCCCTGAAGTAAATAGAATATGGCTTTGGGTATATTATAATAAGATTCCCATATATCCCATATTCTATCTACTTAAGGGTGATTATATATTCCTACTATGCTACTATTGCCTCGCGGTAGCCCATACCCCTACAACGCCTAAACCCTTAACAGTAGACCCTGAACCCTGAACCCTAAACCCCAAATAGCAGTTTCCATTTTCCTTTCCAGAACCCCAATATAACCCTAAACCCTAGACCCTAAACCCTCAACCCCCTATAACCCTAATCGGAGGCCTTGGAGGTCTTGTCGGTGGCGGGAAAGCACTCGGCAGTATCAATCCAGACAGGCGCTCTCGAAGTCCATCGGGGATACCTGGTTGCTCATACCTTTTAGGGTTTAGGGCTTAGGGTTTAGGGTTTAGGGTTTAAGGCTTACCTGGACCTGAAAAGTAGGTACCCTTTTGGGGGTCCCATAATAAGGATTACAGCATATTGGGGTCTATATTGGGGGTCCCCTTGTTTGGGGTTTACCTGGACCTCAAAAGTAGGCAAAATAATAGCCCCAAACCCCTAAATACAGCCCAAAAGGCCATTATTCTACATCATTTTGAGGTTCAGGTACATGCCGTACTACTGTCAGCGCGGTTTGCTTCATTGGGGTAGGCGTAGGTTCGGGCCGATGCACACACCAAACCCTCATGACTGAACTCCCCCCGACCCCATCACCAACCTAAACCCTGAACCTGGGTTCTTGTTGAAATACAATTGAAACAAGATCCTTTTTTAATTGATATTGGGCCCAGGTATCCATAAAAATGTAAAATTTCGTTCTATAAGAGCCCAGAAAACCCTAAACCCTAAACCTTAAATCCTAAACCCTAAACCCTAAATCCTAAACCCTAAACTCTAAACCCCTAAACCCTAAACCCTTCACTGCAAACAGCATCTTAGCGGCCTAGTGCGGCTGGAGGAATTCTTGCACTACGTGATTCACGCAAAAGGCAACCCTAAGGGTCCATGTACCCAATAATTAGGTCCCTTTAAGGGGGATATATAGGGGTTTATAAGGGTATATGGGGTTTAGGGTTTAGGGGTCCATGTACCCATTAATTGGGTACTTAGGGTTTGGGC